ATTAAGTTTTTGAAAATCTAAAAATGCAGAAAGTTTCCTGTAAGGGGTAGGTTTAGGTGTAGGGTTGGTGTACGGCAATAGAAAATATGGTCTGTACAGTAGAAAAACCATTACGCCTATGGAGAGTCCCCACAAGGAAAGCAAACCAGACATGTGTGTGTGTGTGTGTATAAAACAAACACATATTACATATATGTGACCCTGGACCACAAAACCAGTCATAAGGGTCACTGGTATATTTGTAGCAACAATTTAATAATTAAAAATTTTTTTAATTCATGTGAAAAAAAAGAAGGTTGTAAAAAAACCTGCTTGATGCTTTTAACTGTTGATTTAGGAGAGCTTGAAATGGAACAGAAAACTTACAAGCATGTGTCCGGGTCCATAGAAGTCATCTTGGGGAACCAGCAGTAGTCATAGATGGTGTCTCCTTCTGTCATCTTCAGCACTGGACTCTGAGTGCACACAAACAGAAGCAACACCATTATGGGCCCATATCCTGCATACAGCAAATCAGATTGTTTACATATGTATAAGTATATCATAAAAAAGTGATAGTAAAGTAAAAGTAAAGTAAAAAAGTGATCCTTTCACTCCAGACTTTCAAAATGAAGAAGCCAACATTAAGTAGAATCCATATTTAAATTGTTTCATGAGACATTTATCATCTTGGACACTGGCCTAAAGTCAGTTCTACATACAAAGGGAACTGATCTCAGCGTAGTATTTTTACTTGTACAGATAAATATGATATGATATTCTAGAAGAGGCTGACCATCTCAAAAAGCATGTCCCAGTGGCTGCTGTACAGCTCAGGCGGGAGGTTATACACACGAAGAATGTTATCAGCGCTGTTTGAGACAATGCAGGAACCATCCGGAGCCCTGCAGAGAGACGTCATGAAGAGAGATAGATGGTGCATTAGCATCTCTGTGATACAGTTTATACTCTACAGCCGTCATAAACAGCTTGCTTTCATCAGTGATCACCATTTGCAGCCTCTGAGGTAATTCTCGGCGGTGTGGGTGTACTCGGCCCAGGAGCCCGTCAGCATCTGAGGGTTCCGGCTAAAGTCGAGGCTTTGACTGTGAACACAGCGAAGAGACAGCATACACTGACTAGCTGAAAATATCCCTGTCCCTGTGCAACTGCAACACATTTGTTCCCACCATATTTCCTTTCACAGCAGCTTAAGATGAGCGGTGCACTTACTAGCGCTGCTCAGCAGAGTTGTCTTCTGAATTGTTCTTCTCAGGCTCATTTGCTCTGTCCTCCTCATTTGGTCCGAGCATTTCTCTGTTCTCTGCTCCGTTTTGATGCCATTCCACGTCTCCGTCAACTTCCTCAGGTCCCACAGCCTGTCCTGTTTCATCAGTCTGCTGACAGGCAACTGACAGAATCAAATTAACACGGACACCTTAGGTGACAAGTGAAGTAAGACGCTAAAATGTGTTGCTTGTATTTACAGAATTTAGAACATTTTGTTATTTTTTTTGTGCATTTGAAATGGACTTTAAATTGGGAAAAGAGGAAAATAATCAGCAATAATTTAAGGCAATAATCATCTCTATTTGTGGAGCGGCTAAAGGTATAGTTTTTTAGTTTAAAAAAAAACTGTCAACATTTACTCACACTGTTGCTCTAAACACATGACTTTCTTCTTCCATAGATAAGAGAATTAAGTATGTTGCTCTATGTAGCTTTAATGGTCGCTCTTTTCCAAACAATTACAAGAAATGGGAACTATGGCTTTTAAGCTTCAAAAATATCACAAAATAAGACTTGTGTGTAAAGAAAAAGTCTTCTCTGAAGCTGCAAAGCTCCATTCCTCATTCATTGTGATTGCATGGAAAATAGTGACCAATACACTTCAGTCATACTGGTTTAGAATGTCTTAATTTTTTTATAACATTTTTGTTTTTGCATTAACTATTCCTTTAAAATTCTTTAATGTGCACAATATAGTCAGAACACTTAACATACAGAACTTAATGCTGTAATGTTTTATTTTGATGCGACAAAATTTTCATTTTTTTGTCAAGTATCTGTTGTCCAAATCTTAATTTATATTATATAATTTTTTTCCTTTAACACCCTACAGATTTAATTTAATAAACATGACATAAGCCAAATATTAACTTGTATGTTTGTAATAGCGTCAGTATTTTAGTGAATCCCAGCATCTAAATAAGTAAACATACCCTTTTTTTTTTTGGTAACAAAGAGTACATTTATTTTTACATTATTTCTAATTTAATGTGTCAGTAATGATTTAAATGTTTTACAAACAGAAATTGTTAAAAAAACGCGTTACATAAAGCAGGGCACCTCATATCGTAAAAAAATAAAATTTTCAAGATCCATCTTTACTAAAAACCTAACTGAATAAAATTAATTGAAGCACTATTCTCTACTTTAAAGTGTATTACTTTCTACTTTGATGTTACTTGACAGTTATACTGAACATAAAATTTTCAAGATCCATCTTTACTAAAAACCTAACTGAATAAAATTAATTGAAGCACTATTCTCTACTTTAAAATGTATTACTTTCTACTTTGATGTTACTTGACAGTTATACTGAACAAATGAACAACATTCAATAGCATTCACATGTGACGAACCATGAAAAAGCAAACTGAACAGTTCAATTACATTTCATTTCAGAGCCAAGAAAAATAACGTCACATCCAAATCTTTGGAAGGAACCAGCAGTTCACTTACAGAGAGCTGCTTAACTATAAAATTGGATGCATATGAAAGACTAAAGGACAATATCCATGTAATTCTTTAAATATGGCGGCAAGAGTACCACATATGGAGTTTATATCACATATTAAGACATCAGAAGAGCATATTGACAGTGTGCCAAACAGGATGCTGTAGATCAGACGTTAGAAAGTGCTTTTTAAAAAAGACAAAGGCCTCACCTTCCTCTAAAGTCCCAGCAGCACCTTGGCTCCCACACGTGTCCACTGAAGGCACCACAGGCATCTGTATCATTTGTAAATCAAGACCTGGATCTTCCTGCTCCAGTCGAGGCTGTTTTGCTGCTGGTGGTGCTTCCTCTTCTCCTTCCACCTCTCCCTGATGATAAGCCTCATGAGGAGGTTCTCCATCAGCTTCTGCATCCTGTCCTGCACCACCATCACTGCCCTGAGCTGCACCGGACATCCCGTTTACAGAGGTATCTCTATGTTCAGTGGCCTGTGGAACATGCACAATTTATATCATTTCAGTCATGGATTTCACGTACAGATGACATACACTGGCAGTGATACTTATATATACTTTATATAAGCTTACACATTCACAGTAATCTGACTACAATATAAAAGATATGTAGTTTGTAAAATTTAAACCATATTATTTTTATTACAAAACAGTAAAAACAGCGACATCACTTATAATAAAATGAAACTCATTTATGAAACCCATAAATTCCAACTAAAGTAATAGTTTCTGCTATATGCATATCAAAGTTTCAAAAGAAACTAGGCAGAAAATACTACCTTAGGAATGCTTTCCCTTTTGACATCAAAATAATTTATCATTTCTAAACTATAACGGATAGTGATGTGTCAGGCAGGAACTTCTCAGAATTTTCTTTTACCGTTTTATAATATATATAATTAGGTTTACTACAAAATGACAGAATTACTTAAATACTTAATATACACTGAACAAAATGATAAATGCAACACTTTTGTTTTTGCCCTTTTTTACTGACAAAATGCATTTAATATGAACAATATATAACATTTAACAAATATTTTATTGTAAAGATACATGTATTGTTGACTATAAGTTTAAGTAAATAAGTTATGTATTACTAATGCATCATTTTACATATAACCTATATACAAGATAATTCGGTTTTTACCTCCAAAAACCACAACTGCTAAATTACAATTACAACTGCTACTGTCCTGATAAATCTAATAGACATATTCTTTTATATATATGTGACCCTGGACCACAAAACCAGTCTTAAGTCGCTGGGGTATATTTGTAGCAATAGCCAAAAATACACTGTATGGGTAAAAATTGATTTTTTTTTTTATGCCAAAAATCATTAGGATATTAAGTAAATATCATGTTCCATGAAGATATTTCGTAAATTTCCTACCGTAAATATATCAACACTTAATTTTTGATTAGTAATATGCATTGCTAAGAACTTCGTTTGGATAACTTTAAAGGCGATTTTCTCAATATTTTTATTTTTTATGCACCCTCAGATTCCAGATATTCAAATAGTTGTATCTCGACCCAATATTGTCCAATCCTAACAAACCATTCATCAATGGAAAGCTTATTTATTCCGCTTTCAGATGATGTATAAAATTGACACTTAAGACTGGTTTTGTGGTCCAGGGTTATATATATATATATATATATACACACACACACACACACACATACATACATACATATTCTTATATAAGTTATCAGGTCTAAATTAACAGGTCTTCAGTGCTGTATTCTTAAAATTCCGAATATTTTTCAATGTACAGCAGCTCGTCCAGCCAAAAAAAGAGTCACTCTACCTGTTGTTTCTTTGATTCGTATCAGTCGTGTTGTGCTCTGAATCTTACAAATCAGACAAAATTCCTCGGTGTATGTGTTTTACTATATTCAGATGACAGTTTCTGAGCATCTCAACTACAAACGCATTGCGTTGAACCTACAATACACAGGAACTCATGCGTCGTGTTTGTTAGCACAGGGCGCCGCCATGCCTGCACAGTGTGCGTTGCCAGGTCACCTGACTCTCGCGATATTTGCGAGATAATCTCAGGAAAGATTTCAGAAACCGTAATTTATATAAATTGTCATTGATTAACAACATTGACCGCAAATAGTTGAGTGCCGCCCGCATTGCTGCCTCTTGTTTATAGTATAAGAACTTATTTACTTATACTTGATTATATGTTCTGTTTTTGTCTACCATTAATTTGCACACATAATTTGGACAATTTTAAGTAATTATGACATGTGAGTCTATACCAGGGCTGTCCAAACTCGGTCCTGGAGGGCCGGTGTCCTGCAGAGTTTAGCTCCAACTTGCCTCATTGGAGCTAAACTCTGCAGGACACCGGCCCTCCAGGATCGAGTCTGGGCACCCCTCCTTTAAACCATTAAACCTTACCCTGTTTGTTCAACATTTGGTTTCTGTACTTCATTTGGCTGTCAAATTACTGATAACAAGGAGACAATCAAAACATATTTATAAAAATACCATTGTACATACTTTATTATTAATGCAACACTGGGTAAAAAAGCAGTTTTAAAATGCATAACAGAAGATGTGACAAGTATGATAAACCATCAACATATTGTTTTATGAAGTGGACACAGTAAGTACTACAAAGAAAGTTGAATTAAATTTAAAAATGAATATTTTATGCTTCTGACAAACAGTTCTGATGATCATTCCTACATGTATTCTTAGATGTGCAAGATGATATGTCAAATACTTAATAGTGCAATGGTGCTTGAAGATAGAAGACACTGTGGGCACTGAATGGTTTCTGTGAAAATCTCAAAACAGTCAGTAATCACTGCTACCCACAAATGAGAGATAATTTTGTGCCTGTCACAGTTGTCTAAAATAGTATTTGTGCAGGCGGATCCAATCTGAGGTACATAAGGTTAACAGAAGTATTTCAAATGAAGTGAGAATTTTCCTTTGGTCTGACACGAGAAGCAGCATAAGGCCATAAAATTCTCAACTCTGACCCTCAAAGTCCATTTCCTACAGAATTAAGCCCCAACCTTGATCAAACTCACTGTAAATTTATTGTAATCTTGAAGACCTTGATTTGCATAACAGAAGATGTGACAAGTATGATAAACCATCAACATATTGTTTTATGAAGTGGACACAGTAAGTACTACAAAGAAAGTTGAATTAAATTTAAAAATGAATATTTTATGCTTCTGACAAACAGTTCTGATGATCATTCCTACATGTATTCTTAGATGTGCAAGATGATATGTCAAATACTTAATAGTGCAATGGTGCTTGAAGATAGAAGACACTGTGGGCACTGTGTTCAGGTGTATTCTATTATGGTTGGAGCTAAACTCTGCAGGAAAGTGGACCTAGATGGCCAGAGTTGAGAACCTCTGCAATGAAGGTTTGGCATACCTTTATAGTACTTTACCTAATGATTATTGTCACCAAAAAACTATCAGACATCCAGTACTCATTGAGTTTACGCCACAGCAGTCGGTTTTCTTCTGCACACACATAAGTTACATTCAGTTTGTGGCACTGAGTGGTGTCGTGTGAAGCCGACCATCTCCTCCAGCCTTCGGTGTAGCCGACCATCTCTCAAGCCTTCGGTGTAGCCGACCATCTCCTCCAGCCTTCGGTGTAGCCGACCATCTCCTCCAGCCTTCGGTGTAGCCGACCATCTCCTCCAGCCTTCGGTGTAGCCGACCATCTCCTCCAGCCTTCGGTGTAGCTGATCATCGTCTAAGCTGGCTGCAGTGTTTTTTCTTAACTGCTCCCACTTACTGTTTAGTTCACGGTTTAGTTAGATCAGTTTTCTACAGATAGAACATTTTGAACAGAAATCGTATACATTTAATGCACTTAATCATAATTTTACTATTTTCTTTCAAATTCATGCTTTGAATATGGATTTTTTTTTTTTTCGAATCCAAGTACCACAGAAGCTAAGGCACCATGTTTTGTAACAAAGGGTACATTTCCTACATTTTTTTTTGAAATGTAAAATTTAATTCTAATTTTTTTTGTCAAATTCTAAATAGTGAAAAAAACTAAGTTCACACAAGTGCTTCATTCTGAAGTATTTATTGTTTTTCTTCAAACAAACCAGAAACCCCCAAAAACTATTTACATAATGAATATTCAAACATTATTGTCAAAATGGTTTCTTATGACCTTTCTTGAATTGTTGCATCTCTGGAAATTTCAAAAGATATCCACCTCAGATGTGTGAGATAGCAAGGATGACTAGCATAAGATTTTATGATTTAGAATCAGCCAATGCCACTGTTATTGTTGATCACTTTAACATGAACACACAGCTCTGTGACAGTCAATACAGTATTGCTGCTTCACACACTAAATCAATAAATATAAGAAACATGTATTTTTATCATCATTAACATTTTAAAACATGGATTTTTTGCATACCAGTAAAGACTAGTTTAATCTGACCTGCAACATTACACAATTAATCATCTTTAAAGGGCAATACCTTACTCAGATAATGGCGTGCATCACCTTCACCAACAAATCCCATCCTTTCTGATCTTTAGCTCAGTAACAGCTGAAGCCGACACTCAAGCATGTGTTAGTAAAAGTACTTCTGCCCAGCCACGTCTATTTTGAGATCAAAAATGAAAACATTTGATAATTCTGACCTGGAAACAGTTTTTGCCTCTAATATTGAAACTGCAAAGCAAAAATCGTTTTAACATTAGGTTGTATCATCAGAAATACTTGCCCAGTTAAAACCAAGAAGTAATTGCATGTCTTTTGTGGGCATCATTTGATATAAATCATTTTGCAGGTTCATAAACAATGTTTCAAGGGTTTATTAAATAAAATCACACGCTACTATCACAGAGCTAGTCTCGCTGACTGTTAACACTTTTTTTTTTGTTTTACACATCTTAAGTGTGCCTTAATAGGCAAAACTGAACTGTTAAGGCATGTCATTAAAAGAGAAGAAAGAAAAGAAAAGGAAAATCAAACCTGAAACCCAACAGAGAAAGGGAAAAGGGTTAGGGATATATACATTATTTACATGGCAGCCAGAGATGAAGTGTAGTTAAGCCATGTCAGTGTGTGTGTATTCAACAATTCATTTTTTGGATGTGTGTGTATGCAGGTGTATTTCAGTTATTAATAATGTGTGCACGGTGTTTTAACCCTGGCTGCACTCGAGCAGAACTATTCTGTGCATGTTTGAGATCTCATAGTTCTCTGTTCCAGCATTCACAGTTCACTCCCTCCTCCTAGCAAGGAAACATGTTCCTCTGAGTAGTCCGAATACGGTGCAATGAAGCTGCAGCCCTCCACTTCCTTCTGGGCTTTTAGTTCTTGTCATGCAGTCATCATTTCATGTGCTGTTTGAAATTCCTGACCTTGGGATCTTTCTCTGAAGGATGAGGACAGGAATTAAGGGGAGATGGAGATGCAACACGAAGCACTGGAGAGCCTCCGTCTTCATCTGAAGATCTGGAACAGCAAAGATCTAATCAAAGCAGAGAAAAGGAGGAGGAATTAAAAACAATTTGAGGAGCATCTCATTTAAGAAAAAAAAACGAAGAGTAGATCTAATTCGTTTTTTTAATGTAAATTTTTAAATGTCACAATATTAATACGTAATAATTACGGTTTTTATTGTATTTTTGATTAAATAATGCAGCTTTTTTTCTTTTCTTTTTCTTTTTGCTAGGATGTTCTGGGGGTTGCCAAGTAATTTTTTGTCAGTTGAACAAACCTTAACCTGAAGTAGCTCAACAGTTATTATTTGTGACCCTGGAGCACAAAACCAGTCTTAAGTCGCTGGGGTATATTTGTAGCAATAGCCAAAAATACATTGTATGGGTCAAAATTATAGATTTTTCTTTTATGCCAAAAATCATTAGGATATTAAGATCATGTTCCATGAAGATATTTTGTAAATTTCCTACTGTAAATATATTTAAACTTAATTTTTGATTAGTAATATGCATTGCTAAGAACTTAATTTGGATAACTTTAAAGGTGATTTTCTCAGTATTTCGATTTTTTTTGCACCTTCAGATTCCAGATTTTCAAATAGTTGTATCTCGGCCAAATATTGTCCTATCCTAACAAGGGATAGCTTATTTATTCAGCTTTCAGATGCTGTATAAATCTCAATTTTGAAAAATTGACCCTTACGACTGGTTTTGTGGTCCAGGGTCACATTTTAGGATAGAATAGGGGAAGGAAAATCAATAAATGAATGAAACAATGAATGAATTAACATATATAACAAAACAAATGAATGAATAAATTAATAGTGTTCATTACCAAACAGACGGTCTTGTAGCGCAGTAACTACTTCAAGCCAAAGGTGAATTTCAGCCATGCAGTCAGCAGGTGGCGGTAGAGCTGATGGAGCTTATTGGTTCTTTACCTCAAGTCCTTTTTGTTTTTTTTAAAAAGAAAAGTATTTTTCAGTCAACAATGAAATAATTCCAATCCACAAAAAAAAAAAAAACATCCTTTTGCTTTGGCTAGCACCCTGGACCGAGCTGTTTAATCCTTTTTACATAACGGAGAACACTGTTGAGTCAATCTGTTCTGAATCTCCACATTTTAACCAAGTTTGGAGACTGTTCGTATAGTCTTAAATATCAACATTGTTCAGTGAAAATCCTCATTGGGAAAATTCCAATGATATTTCCTCAAGTCCCAATGTGTCTGAAACTTCCCTTATCCATTTACGGTAAAGCTTGCGTGGTGACGTTCTCAAGCAGATCCATCAACCATCATAAGGAGAACGAGTCTCATGCAAGGGCATCAAAAACTCTCGAAGCATCCATCCGCTGACAGAAACGGGCATCTTGCATTCTGTCTGCGCTCTCCAAGCCCAAGTGAAAGTTCCTCACAGTTTTGAGCAAATGAAAAGTGCATAGCGAGGGTATCAGGGCAGTGCTAGTCCCTTTATCTTTATGAAGATGATGGCCATGACACCCCGTCCGGTGAAAACACAAAAATAAGAAAACATGCTCACGCTGTCCAAATAATTATCTGGCAGATCTGAGGTCATACATATGTTCTTTTGTTGCTCTTCTCATCAACATCCATCACAGATATGTCCATCCAACATAATCCACAAGCCAAGAAATGATTGGGTAAAAGGGAAAAATGTTAAAGCATTCAATATGCATCTTACAGTACCAAGAGGTCATCTGTGCTGTCTTGATTTTTGCCTTCTTTCCAGGTACATAAAGCATTTCTTGATGATCAATTTGATTCCATTACAAAGAAAGATTAGTCAAAAGTAAACAAAAGATGGTCACCTTTATGATTCTTAAAAACACACCCTGTCCGTGAGATAAAGGTACAAGAAGAAATCTTTGATGTAATTCCATTACTTGTGTTCCAGCGATCCAAGTTTGTTTCAGTCAGCAAGCTATATAGGCTGCACTCATATCCACATGCAAAGGAAGGGTCTGACGTCATGCCATTGAAGTCCCTCCGACAAAATGATTCTCAACTGCAGAATCACATATTCAATCACCACAAAAAATAAAGGGGAAAAAAGCACCCACAAATGTCTGTGCGGTTTGTAAACAACCAAAACTCCAGTATGGAATAAAAGTTCTCTTTTTCATAGTCAAAATCTGTATGAACAGGATTGTAGAGGCAGTGTGTTTTTGTGGTAGCCTTTCATGAACGATTTTCAATTTCGCTCCTGATTACACTTTAATATCCTGTGTTAAGCAACTCCATCTACACCGTTACATTTTTGGAATACATTCAATTTTTTTTTTTAAGAAGGAAAGAAAAAAGTACACAAATGCACTTCACATGGTGGCAACTAAAAAAAAATCCAAGGAAAATTTTTCAAAACGAACAAAAAAAAGTAGCAGCCCCAAGTGCTCTTCCTTTGTAGTCCAATACTTTGTTTATATTCATAGATTCATATATAATCATATATAACATTAAAAGAAAAAAATAAATCACCATCATTGTCGTTGACAACAACAATGAACAAGTAACAAAATATACAGACATTTTGTGCACTGCTGAGTGCACTTGCACAGTTTGTTGCGATCATATTTTTTTTTTTAAACCAGAAATAGTCAAAACCTCAGTCACTCCAGAGCAAGAGAGTGGACAGAAAGGCAATGTTAGGTCACATCCACCAAATATCAAACATTTCTTTCATCCACACATCCCCAAGCTACAATAGAACTGTACAGAGATAGGCTCTTGTTTAATAAGCATGAGAGGCATGTGGGGGGCGGAGCCTTCCAAAGGAAACCACGCCCCTTTGCTAAAAAAATAATGTCTCAATGGCAGCAATGAAATCTAATCATTCGCCCTTTAGTTCTTAGGCACACGTGGGGACAGAAAAAAAACACACTCGCAACACACGTACCACAAGTAACCATTTCCTAAAGGTATACAAGATTGCGCTCTTCAACAACACACAAACAAAACAATGACGCTAATGACATGTTCTTAAACCTCACAGAGGCAAAGATGAGGCAGTGGAGGCAGGAAAAGATGTCTCCTGCACTCCCTACCATGAAAACTAAGAGTGCTGGTTGGCGTAAAATGGGCTAAAGCTTTTGTGTTTGAATCTAGAGGTCATTCTTTGTTGGGGAATTGAAGGGCTGGTGAAAGAGGATGTGTTGTGCCGTTGCCCCCCTCTCTCTGTCTTTCATTCATTCATTCATTCGTTCGCTCACATACTGCACATTTACAAGAGGAGTAATACACACAGTTCCTCCTGTACACAAGCATTCACATTCACACATTCAGTTCATACAATAAAAAAAAAATCACTCTGAATGACGAAATGGCCTCTTTTGATCATACGTCTAAGTAAGCGATTAAAAAAAATACATTGTGCAGACTGGTATGTTTTAAACACACACGCACACACACTCTCATTCTTGAACAAACATGCGTGCATAGACATACACACACACAGGCACACAATCACAAAAATATTCATCTATTACATCTAACATTTTTTTTTATCTTTTTAACTTGCATTTTATGTGAGTGCAAATCTTCAAGTTTTATAATCAAAGTTTTTTTATAATAGCTTTACGTTTTTTAATAGAAACTTTATATATATGTATATAAAAAAACAACAGTGTTTGTCTTTAAAGAGAGGATTTGTTTTTCTGATAATGTCTGAACTAAAACACGCAATGGTCCCCCAATCGCCACAATTTCCTCCCAGCACAAACTCCAGTTCTGATTCAACACACACACACACACACACACTATATATATATGGTAATATTTCTGAAGCATACCACATAAATATACAAGCAAATCTTCTCGAAAAAGAACAAAGAAGAAAAAAAATCTTAATAAAGTGCATTAGTCTGAGTGTAAGGTGCTTAATGCTGTAAGTGCCAGAACTTTTTCACCCCCCCGTCCCCTGAAAACACACACACAAAAATAAATTCCCTTCCCTGTTGAATTACATTCTTCTATTCCCAGCGCAAAACCCACCCACCCCAAAACCGATACCTTACTCCTGGCTTATCCCCAAACCCCTCTCCCTCAAAGCAGTGCACATTCGACTTGCGGAGTCTGATTAGGTGGACCCGCGGGTTTAAAGGCCTCGTGTAGCTATTGCTGTGTATTCAGTAATCCTCGACCATCTCCATCTCGTTTAGACTATACCGATCAGGGCCACCATGGAATGAGTACCCTAAAAAGATACAGAGCGAGAGAGAGAGACAAATTCAGTTTTCAGAGGTTCTCTAGAGGATGCATGCCAAAATATCAAACAAATCTAACAGCCAACAGTGAAATTAAAAGTACACTACCATTCAAAAGTTTGGAGTTGGTAAGATTCTTTTTTTAAAAGAAATCTCTTACGATCAAGGCTGAAATTATTTGGTCAAAAACAGAAAAAAAAACAGTAATATTGCGAAATATTATTACAATTTAAAGTAACTTTTCCATTTAAAACATCTTAAAAAATATAATTTATTACAGTGATGGCAAAGCTGAATTTTTAGCATCATTACTCCAGTCTTCATGTCACATGATCCTTCAGAAATCATTCTAATATGCTGATTTGGTGCTCAAGAATCATTTCATTTTAATATCAATGTTGAGAACAGTTGTGCTGCTTATTGTTTTGTGGAAATTGTGATACAGTTTTGCAGCATTTTTTGATGAATAAAAGGGTAAAGAACAGTATTTAATTGAAATGGAAATGTAGTAGACATCTTCACTTCAGTGTAGAAGTCTTCACTGTCACTTTTGAATTAAATGCATCTGTGCCATAATAAAAGTATTGGTAACACTGTAGTATAGGGACCTGCCTATATCACCCTGCAGCCCAAGACTGGTTGCCCACTGAAGCTAAGCAGGGCTGAGCCTGGTCAGTACCTGGATGGGAGACCTCCTGGGAAAACTAGGTTGCTGCTGGAAGAGGTGTTAGTGAGGCCAGCAGGGGGTGCTCACCCTGCAGTCTGTGTGGGTCCTAACTCTCCAGTGTAGTGACGGGGACACTATACTGACAAAAAGCAGTCTTTCGGATGAGATGTTAAAAAGAGGTCCTGACTCTCTGTGGTCATTAAAAATCCGAAAAAGAGTAGGGGTGTAACCCCGGAAACCTGGCCAAATTCGCCCATTGGCCTCTGACCATTCATGGCCTCCTAACCATCCCCATATCTGCTGATTGGCTTCATCACTCTGTCTCCTCTCCACCAATAAGCTGGTGTGTGGTGGGCGTTCTGGCGCAATATGGCTGCTGTTGCATCATCCAGGTGGATGCTGCACACTGGTGGTGGTTGAGGAGATTCCCCCCTTCTATGTAAAGCGCTTTATAAATGTAATTAATTATTATTATTATTATTAATTATAGAGACCAATTCTCACTATTAACTACTTGCTTATTTAGCATGCCTTTTATTAACATATTGGCTGTTTATTAGTACTTATAAAGCATCTACATCCCTAATCCTACCCAATATCTAAACTTAAACTTAAATAACTTTACTAACTATAAATAAGCAGCAAATTAGGAGTTCATTGAGACAAAAGTCATAGTTAATGGTTTATTAATAGCGAGAATTGGACCTTAAAATAAAGTGTGAGCAAAGCATTTTTATTAAAAAAAAAATAAAATAAATTTGCTGACCCCAAGCTATTGAATATTAGTGTAGGTTTTTCAGAAAACTTCTCATAATTAAAACAGAGCATTTAATTCCGGAGCATTCAGAATTCAGAAGAAATCCAATTCCAGTTTAATTCACTAAAAATAGTCATTTGTTTGGGAATCACTGGACTACACTGGTTGTGTGCTACATGGTAATTTTGATTTAATAAAAATAGCCAGCTGATAGGGCTGTTTTGGTCTTATTTTGGTCAATATTGTAATCACAATTATTTAACACGATTATGAGAGGGCCACAACCAAAACTTTATACGAGTTATTTATTTGAAGATAGCGATATATATCAAATATATATTTTCTGTAAACAAGGTTGCTATGACATCTAAATTTTAGAGACGAGAGAAATTTCACAATTCTCAATAGCACAGCAGAATTCTAGGGTAGCTAATATTAGTAAAAAAACAATAAAGATACAAATTAAACAAAAACTATGTAAAAGATACAAATGAATCAAACAGTGCTTAAGTTTGTTTATGCAAGTCTAAAGTACAGGCTATTCAGTTAACAGCCTACTACAGAAATTGAATAATCAAATGTAAAATAAAACAGCATAGTCTTCACTGTAAGAAATAAACTTCCTTTGTTTCTTATTAAATACCGACGAGGGTTTACATCGGTATTTGACCGTTTAGGCATGCACCTTAAGCTACAAGTTGACTTTACTTGTCTGTGTTCTGTTCCGTCTCTGAGCACATGCATAGAAATCCTCCAGGTGAACAGTGCAAGTTCTCTTTCTCGCTTTTATAAACATGATTAAATCTAATAAACTTTAATAAATCAAGCACGTCCCATTTTGCAAAAGTCACGTTACATGATTTCCACATGAAATTGGGCTTTTATGGAGGAGCGAAAGCGCACGTCTGGAAAGGGAGCGGAATGGGGCACAATAATCATTTTATCGCGATTATTGCATTTTCAGAATCGTTGGAGGCCAAAATCGAAATCGAAACTGTATTTCGATTAATTGCACAGCTAATAGGAGTAATTTGTTCTGGAATCAGACTATTCGGGACATGTTATATGTACAAGAGGAAAAAAGGTTACCTAAGATGCTTGGGTCAGAGTGCAGCATCGTGGGCTGTTTCTTCTTCAGCTTTGCTGCCTGATCATAGACCACACCCCCCTTCCCAGAATGCACTGCCTGGAACATAGACTGCAGGGCACTGGGGTTCATTCCTCGTACAGTCTCCTAACAGAGAAAAAGAGTGTGAGAATGAGAGGCAAAAATAGGACTTAAAACTCAGATAAACAACAAATGAGACTTGGTTCTGCCCATCATGGAAATATAAATCACTGTCGATATAGAGTTGTACTCATACCTGCAGAGGGAAGTTGTTCATGCTAAGTCCAGCCATCTCTTTGGAGAGCTATAAAAGAGGACCAAGATTTTTATCGGGAGTAGGCAAACACACACACACACACACAAAAGGGCCTTTCGCACCGCAGGAACCTTTTCATAGTACCAGAACTAATTGTGGAACTACCCACTTTTTGGCGTTTTCGCACCGCCGGAACTGGGAGCGATTTTAGTACCGGACTGCCTTTTTCGAGAACCAAATTAGCTCCTACTCCGGAGCAGGGTCTAAC